GGCCAACTATTCATCTAGCCAACCATTTATCCATCCAACCATCCAACCAACCAACCAATAGACCAACCAACCAACCAACCGATCATTCATCTAGCCAACCATTTATCCATCCAACTGTCCTACCAACCAACCATTCGTCCATCCAACCATTCATCCATCCAACCACCCATTCATCCAACCAACAATTCATCCATCCAACCAACAATTCATCCATCCAACCAATCATTCATCCAACCATTCATCCATCCAACCATTCATCTAGCCAACCATTTATCCATCCAACTGTCATACCAACCAACCATTTGTCCATCCAACCATTCATCCATCCAACCACCCATTCATCCAACCAACAATTCATCCATCCAACCAACAATTCATCCATCCAACCAATCATTCATCCAACCATTCATCCATCCAACCATTCATCTAGCCAACCATTTATCCATCCAACCATCCATCCATTCATCCATCCAACCATTCATCCATCCAACCATTCATCTAGCCAACAATTCATCTAGCCAACTTTTTATCTATCCAACCAACCAACCATTCATCCAACCATCCATTCATCCATCCAACTATTCATCCATCCATTCAACCATTCATCTAGCCAACTATTCATCCATCCTTTCAACCATTCATCTAGCCAACCATTCATCCATCCAACTATTCATCTAGTCAACCATTTATCCATCCAACCGTCCATTCATCCATCCAACCATTCATCTAGCCAACCATTCATGTAGCCAACCATTTATCTATCCAACCAACCAACCATTCATCCAACCATCCATTCATCCATCCAACTATTCATCCGTCCATTCAACCATTCATCTAGCCAACTATTCATCCATCCATTCAACCATTCATCTAGCCAACCATTCATCCATCCAACTATTCATCTAGTCAACCATTTATCCATCCAACCGTCCATTCATCCATCCAACCATTCATCTAGCCAACCATTTATCCATCCAACCGTCCATTCATCCATCCAACCATTCATCTAGCCAACCATTTATCCATCCAACC